GTCAGACAGAGCTTCCAGCGTTCCCGTTCCTGTGTCATAGTCTGAGCTTCGGCAGAAGACAAATGGGGTCTGGAACAGACTTTTTCCATATATTTTTACATATATAAAATATTCATGCGAATGTAACATGGGCAACAACAAACGCAAAACATCGTTTTCATTGTGATTTGAAACATCGTCTTCTGCATTAACTGCAGCTGCCTGATTCTCTGACGTGTGCTAAAACGGTCGTCTAACTGAGCAAACATGCAGGCAGATCTGGTGCCTAGTGACAAGCTTTTATAGGAAAAGGATATACGATTGTTTTGCTTGGAATGTTTTGTCTGTCGAACACTTCTCATTCCAGTCTTATCTTTCTCATTCCTATATGTTCCAACATGGTTAATGAGGGAGAATCAGAATCTGCGCGAGACGCTAGTTCAGCCAAAGGATTAATGGTTTATCTTCATAATTACACCCAAACACTCCCGTTATGGAACGACAAACTATGCTCTAAATACTCGATGTTATATCGATGGATGACTTATCGACGTTATGCGACTGCTTCATTGATACCATCATACTAAGGGAATCACTTTTCCAACAGCCTTGAAGTACCTCAGTACATTAAAGGTGTCATTTTCGTTCGCCATTGTATGAAATGTATATATCTTTACGATGAATGTTTTATAGGATGTGTTTGAGAGGCGCTGCCCTTGCATGAATGGAACTTTCCCCGAGCTGTGTTGCTTAAACGACCCTAGCGGCAACCGTTGTCAGCTGCACCGTCTGTTTCAAGGAACCCTTCCGCTGCTTACCTCGTATCGTCCAGTGAATTGGATTCCGTTTGCTCAACACTTTTCGTCGTCGCTGCCGGCTGCCGCTACTGCTTCTACCCCTGCCCCAGCCGTTTATCCGTCGACGTCATCGTCCTCGGTTCACCAAATGCACCAGCAGGTGCCAGTTCCCAATAACCCCTGCATTCACTGCGCTCACCATCACGCGACCATCGCCGCCTCTGCCGCTTCGGTAGGTCGCCCCACGTCCGTTGCCTCTGCGTACCAACTATGATGGTTTTTCTTTCGTTTCAGCCATTCGCCGCGCTCCATCCTCGCATTAGTATTACTCATCACCTGGTGCCTCAGCCGGCTTCCCCGATGTCGTTTGTGCCTTTTAGTCTGGAACGTGTACCGGAAGTCATTATGCCTTTTCTGTAAGTGTATATACATTGTAATTAAGAACTTATTAATTTACCGAAGCAGTAGTTCAGAAACTCGGTGTGTTAAATTTGTTGTGATAACTTTTAATCTTTTCGACCCAGAACCAAAATCTGATTCTATCTGCTTTTAACAACTGCAGATACTATGCATGGTTATGGTCATACAGGACTATCAGGATGTAATCGGATAGGCTTTTTTCTCTTTGAGGGATACTTACGTAAGTTTCACAATGGCTGAGTTACATAAACGCCCGCATTTATATGTATGACGTCAGTTCTTGTCTGAATTAGGAGCTCTGTGGCAGCTA